AAGCTTCTGCTTGGTGAAAGACAATGCCAAGAGAATGAAAAGCCACAGACTAGGAGAAAATATTTGCAAACTATGTATCTGGAAAAGCGACTGTTATCCAAAATATACAAAGAACTCTTAAAACTCAACAACAAGAAAATGAATAACCCGATTTAAAAATGGGCCAAAGACCTTAAGAGACACCTCAGCAAGGAAGATATACAGATGGCAAACAAGCATATGAAAAGATGCTCCACAACATATGTTATCAGAGAAATATGAATTAAAACAACAGTGAGACACCACTACACACCTATAAGAATGGTCAAATCCAGAACACTAACACCACCAAAATGCCTTTCAGGATGTGGAGCAACAGGAGCCCTTATTCATTGTTGGTGTGAATGCAAAGGAGCCCTTATTCATTGTTGGTGGTTCACCTTGGAAGTGAAGACAGCCACTTTGGAAGACAGTTGAGAGGTTTCCTACAAAACTAAACATGCTCTTACTATACAATCCAGCAATCGTGCTTCTTAGTATTTACCCAAATGAGACAAAAACTTATGTCCACTCAAAAATCTGTACATGAATGTTTACGGTGGCTGTCTTGATAATTGCCCAAACTTGGAATCCACCATGACATGATGTCCTTCAGTGGGTGAATGGATAAATAAACTGTGATACATCTAGACAATGGGATATTATTCAGCACTAAAAAGAAATGAACTGTCAAGCCATAAAAAGATATGGAGGAAACTTAAATGCATATTATAAAGTAAAGGAAGTCAATCTGAAAAGACTACATACTGTATGATTCCAACTATATGACATTCTGAAAGAGGTATGACTATGGAGACAGCAAAAAGATCAGTGGTTGCCAGGGATTGAGGGGAGAAAGCAATGAACAGGCAGAGCACAGAGGATTTTTAGGGCAGTGAAAATAGTCTGATACCATAACAATAGGTTCATATCATTAAACATTTGTCCAAATCCATAGAATGTACAACCAAGAGTGAACCCTAAGGCAAACTATGAACTCTGAATGATTATGATGTATTAATATAGGTTTTTTGGTACTGTGTAATGGGGAGGTGGGGGGGATGTGTGGGGTCAGGGGCATATGGGAAATCTCTGTACCTTCCCCTCAATTTTTTCTGTGAACCTAAAACTGCTCCAAAAAAGTAGTCTCAATTTTTTAAGAATCAAGGGGGGAAAAAAAGTGTTCAGGGCCTTACATTCTTAGGACACCAGGCAAGATGTGTAAGAGAGTTAGAAGCCCAGGGAGCCCTGCTGGTGTGGCTCAGTTGGTTGAGTGCTGTCCTCTGCATCGAAAGGTTGCCAGTTCGATTCTGGTCAGGACACATGCCCAGGTTGCAGCTAGATCTCTGGAAAGGGGTTCGCAGGAGGCAGCCAGTCGATGTTTCTCTCTCTTTCTCTGTCCCTTACTCTCTTTCTAAAAATCAATTTAAATAATCTGTTTTAAAAAGAAGCCCAAAGAGCATGGTTCTCTCCCCAGCAATCTACTATTTTTCCCCCTGTGTTGTGAGATAGTTGTCTATTGCTCCTAAGTCACACTAAGATCCACGAGTACCTTTTCCAAAAGGAAATCTTTTGCGACTGAATCTTTAACACACACACACACACACACACACACACACACACACACACACACAAACTAGCTCTAAACTAGAATTGACTGAGTTAATTTGCATTGACAAATTCAAGTTTTCCCACATTATCAAAAACGGAGCTGGTGAACTGAATTCAGTTACAGAGTAATGTACATTTACATCTTTAGCTGATCTGAGTGTAGTGAATGTAAATTATTCAACCTATTACATTAATTATAGTTATTTGTACAAATGGCTTACCAGATATATCCAATTATGCAAAGAAACAACAATGTTCATCACTAAATTAGCACTGGTTAAGTTTTGTTTTGTTTTTTTCCATTACAATATTAAACTCTTGTGACTTGAAAGGTAGAAAAAATACTTCTTGGGGATTACCAAACAATTTATTAGGCTATCTCTAGAATTTCCCTTTCCACCATTAGTTCCTTTAGAAAGAAAGAGAGTTCATTAATTCACGAGATAGTAGTTACTAAATGCAGTTTAGTAAATATAAAGACATAGTACATGGTTAAGGATTTGAACAAATCCAATAACAAACAGCAAGTAGTTTTATAAACAACAGAAACAAAAAAATACATATTTTAGGTCAAACAGTACAGATGTGTTCCAGCAACATCAGATGTGTGGAATACGACAATGAAAACATGGGGGTCTCCACCCTAAAGAATTTCGGGCTATGTCATATCCACTGGTGCTTCTTTACTTACTTGCCTATTTTACTCCTCAAAAACACTAGTCAAGCACAATTTCTTTATTCATAAACCACTTGTGTTTTCCTCTAAGAGAATATTATGGATGTTCCTGGTTTTAGAATTCAGTGGATTATCCCATGGGAGGAAGAAATTGACTTACTTGAACATTCTCAAATCTTTTTAGGTCTCCACTGTCCAATACAGTAGCCACTAGTCCCATATGGCAATTTAAATTTAATTACAATTAAATAAAATTTAAAAATTAGTTCCTCAGTTATACTAGCTGTACTTCAAGTGGCTGCTACATAGCACAGCATAAATTTTGAACATTTCCATCATCGCACAAGGTTCTATTGAACTGCACTTATTGGACCATCCTATCTAATAATAGACAAACATGGTAATTAACTGTACCTCCGACACGCTTCCCATTGGCTAATCAGGGCGATATGCAAATTAACTGCCAACCAAGA